AACGTTGTGGGAGGTCGTGTGGCTTCAATTCTTGCACCAGCTGTCGCAAAATTTTCCACGTAGTGGAGTAACAGAGACCCAATTGCTGCGAACGGCGGCGAATCGACATTTCACGGTCATCACTAACACTGGCGCCGCAATATTTTCTTCAGTCCTCACTCTACGTCTGCGTGTTGGTGGTTTAATGTCCAATAATGTAAACTGGGTTCGAAATTTAGTCACAAGCTTCAGAATAGCTCACTCAGTAGGCCGACCAAATTGCCCATAAATTGGAAGCAGTGCTCGATGCACTCTCTTAACCGAGCACGAATTTTGATAATAAAATTCAATAATTTGCAAGCGTTGTTCGTTCGTAAGTCGAAGCATGGTTAAATTATAGACCAAAGTGAACAAGTTTGACACAGGCAACAGCACAAAAAGGAAAAAAAGAGAAAAGGGTAAGTAAAACAGGTTTATACAATTTGTCCATAGACATTCTATCCATGTCCTACCGATACCTAGCTTGGACAGATGTGGCACCGAGGCAGAAATACGTGTGATACCATACCAGATCTGATTTTTCAGGGCCAAAGTATAGAGAAATCCATGATGTGTGAAGTATGTCTAACAGGTGCGTAAAATTACCAATGTTGGGAACGCATAAATGTACCAGTATCAAACAATTGAGATAAGCCCTCCCCACTCCATTATAACCCCTACCCCCAAGTTTTTTCCCCTCTAAGTTTTTTTTTCTATAATGATCAGGATCTACTAAAACATCAAAAAAAAAATAATGTGTTTGAGCGATGTTTACTCTTTTCGTTTTAGGTCTTTAGGTTCTAAAACGTCACTGGACCGATTTTCATTGACTAAAAAAACGTTTGCATCCTTAGCATAGTGGTAACATTGTGTTAAAATTTTATCGGAATCCGAGCGGTACTTCTCAAGTTATATGTATAAGATTAGCGAACAGAGCGACAGACAGACAGACAGACTGACCGACCGAAAAGTGTCATGGTTTTTCGTGATGTCCATGCCATATTACATTCAAGACACATAATATCTTATTTTGGAAAATTTTTGCGATTACATTACTTCGTACAAAGAATTTTACAGCATAAGACTCGTAATGTGAGTAGCTTTATCAGAACACTCCTTATTAATTTTTTCTGTCAGGCTTAATAGGAGAGGATACATTTTGAGAAATAGGATCTGATATAACAGACAACACACTCTTTAACTGTAATTTAACATAGAAAAGATTTAAACTCCAACATCTCGTGCAGTCTCAAACTTCATCTCCAAGGGAGATGAATGTATCTAAAATCTCAAACACTACGAGTACATACACTACATTATAGACGCAGTGATGTGTATCATCTCCTATACCTTGAAATCTAAAGAGCATTGATCGTAGCTTGTCAAAGGAAATCTGATAGCATCTTATCCAATTCTCGATCACGTTTAGATAGTTATGTTTAACTATGTACGCTAATAGCCCTGAAGTATCTGCTTTTGAGCACTCCACGTCTTACGCCCTTCTAAGTTAATCCAGGCATCTTGTAAGGCCTATTTCTCTTAGCCTTACAAATTAGTTACCAGGGTTGTGACCATTTAATTTTCCAGACCACATGGAACTCACATTTGTCTTTGAAATCGGATAAGTTGGATATACCTCGAGATATATTCAGAGAGAAGGTGAATTAAACTTTGATGTTGGTGTATTTGAGTTCATCTAGTAGAGTAGAAAGGTTAACCTAAAAGTTGTTTATTTTGTGGTGCACAAAAACAGTATCACACGTTGAAACTGGGTTAGTTCAGTGTGTGTTATCAGTCCTATTAAAGGACAGTCAAACGCATCAAATATTTACATTTTCATCGCAACCATTTCATAATATAATTCGATTCCAAACTAGCCAAAATTTGCAACTCTCCAGAATTTATAATAATAAAGTATCTTAAGTCAAACATATTACATTTTTATTGAGTGAATCGACATGGAACATCGGAGTCTATATGTTAAAAGTATCTTTGATGCAGAATAACAATATTTCATCAAAACTGTTTTTTTTTACAAAAACTCGATCCCAGGTAATACGCTGTTCACAATTATTATTAAATGATATTTCGTTACTTCTAGCTGATTGTCCATAGTAATAATTGCAATACATACTGGCAATCAAATTGTGGCCAGCTAATACATTAAATATCGTTGGTATCAGCTGCCTATTCCGCTTTGTTGACATACTAATTTGATTCTAGAGATTAAAAACGCGACTGTCAAATTATTGCATCACACTTCGGTCAGAGGGAGGTATAATTGATACTTAAGAATCATTCTTTTATAATTCCGGATTTCAAACTCTGAAGATAAAATAGTGCTTGTAGTCTATTCGATGTAACTTGCTTAAAATGAAGTATAACACAATAGTAATTTTTTGAATGATTCAGTACTAAAATGATACCGAGAAGGGTACGTATTGTGGTAGACCATCATAGTTTGTATGCAGCCTTAGATGGACTCAGACAAAGGAGCAGGGAGCTATATGACTTGTCACAAAAAGTATATAATGTTGAGAAGGTTCGATTTACACAAAAAATGAAGGTACTCTGTCAAATGATCAAAGTCAGAACAATAAGTCGATTAAAATTCGATTCAAATCAAAAGATGTCCGTCGTAATTGACGGGTTCTCCTCTTCATCCCACAACGTCAACGCGGGTGTTCCCCAGGGATCGGTCTTGGCTCCGATACTGTTCCCCTTACGTATCAACGACCTCCTTTGCTGGACGATCAACCCAATCCACAGTTTTGCTGATGTCAGCACCCTACATGCAGGAATTTATAAAGAAAGAAGACAAGCAGCGACTTCCTCTCTGACGACAGAACCTGAAGGTTATCACTGCTTGGGGACGCAACAACCTTGTACAATTTACTGCTTCCAAAACATAGTACTGTACCTTGATGAACAAAAAGCATCCCAGCGCTCATTCGGTTTCGATGGATGGCCGAGTTCAGCCAAAGAGCCGTTCATTTCGGTTGGTCGTAGTCCAGATCACCAGGGAATTGATCTGGCACAAACACATCTCGTCAATAGCGGCAGCTGCTGGAAAAAAGCTAGGCTATTTGTTTAAGGCTAAGAAGAACTTTCTCTCGCATGACCTCCTCACTCTATACAAGGCTCAGATAAGACTAAGTGTGCATCCATATTGTGAGCCTAGCGCAGTAGCGAAGATGGGCGCGAAATGTCAAACATTATGAAACACGCCTTTGCGTCCATGATGTAGTGACTGAGGCGGAAGGCGGACGCCCGATGGCAGTGGTAACAAACCAGTTCGGTGTTGTCCCTCGGCGTATGCATGAGTATGTTTTGTAATGGCGGATACTGAATTGCTTATAAGTGCAATTTAGTCGAAGCCACTTATTTGGCAAAGTAAACATCCGCATCATAGATATTTTCCTTAGGATGTAGTCAAACGGGCATTCGAGTGTACTGGTAGGGTATAGTCCCAGTTCTTCATACAACTGAAAAAATTCAACAGTCGTTTCTCTGTTTTTATTTATTTCGTGCACACCATCTCGAATGTTCAACACATCCCATCTCAGGATCTGACTGTTTAGTAAAAATACCAAATCATCGACTATAGTTTAGGACTTCTGATAATACGTCGAACCAGCACAAGAGCTCGCGTGTTACTGTGGACACTAGTGATGTAGGAATACGGATTAAAATAACGGTACAATCCGAATATTCATTTATTCCGTAATATGCCGAATATCAATTTATTAAGTATTATTTTTAATACGGAATGTGTGTGATTTGCCTTCTTCGTTTTTTGCAATGAAATTAACAAGGCAACAACAACAACAATATACAACGGAAAGTTAGATTAGAAGTCCGGAAGAAACTTCCATGGAAGAATAATAATACGTATGATTTTTAATAGAAGTTCTCATTTTCATCCGTATAAGTATGAAACATGCAGCGCACACCGCACGCAGACGTTAATCGCCAGTGGTGGCGCAGATTTTAGGTATTTAGGTCAGGTCGCCTAGTTACAGTTAATGTTTTCTTATTTTCTGCAACTAATATTAAATGAAAAAACTATATCTTCAATTTTTAAAAGCGGAATGGAACAAAGAAAAATAAACAATCAGTTTTATTAATAAATCAGGATCAAAAATGGCAAAAATATAAAATAAAACAGGAACTCTTCAAAGAATAAACATAAAAAAATCCTAACATATGCATTTAATAGGTACTAAATCTAAATATATAAGTATAAGTAAACAGGAACTCAAACAAATAGGAACTTTATAAGAAAAACAAATATTTTAAATGGTATATAATCAGAAACATATTAGGTATGTTTAATAATAAGCAGTTAATTTTATTAATAAATGAAGATTAAAAATGGCAAACATATAAAATAAAACTGGAAGTCTTCACAGAATAAACATAAAAATAATCCTAGAAATATATACAATTAATAGGCACTAAATCTAAACATATAAGTAAACAGGAACTCAAACAAGTACGAACTTTATAAAACAAATATTTTAAATGGTATAATAATCACAAAAATATTAAGAGGGGTATCACAAATCTCTAAAAGCAACTGTTTAAAAATAAAATCATATCAACATGCTTTGATGAGAGCCTATTTCGTCTGAGATTTGCCAACTGCCCAGCTTTCGAAAATAGTCTTTCGCTTGGCACAGAAGTTGCCGGTACACAGGAATATTTTTGATGTAATGAATACAGTTCAGGCATAGCTAATTCATGTTTCGACCAAAATTCCATAGGATTACATGTGCGGTCGACATGCGGTAGTTCAAGGTATTTTTTGTATCAAAATGTGTCCATAATGATATACTTTTTTCATGAAGTTCATTGAGCTGTCGGATGTCTGGCTCGATACTAGCAGAATGGGATTCTGTCCCTGACATAGCTGCAAATTCATCCATTATCCAAGTCTGACAAATTCTAGCATTTTCTTCAAGGCCAAATGCATTTTTTTTCTAACGTGGGTCAAGAAAAGTGCTTTTAGCTACAATTTTATTGGACTCAAGCACTCCCAGACGTCTTGAAACTGTATCTAACAATTTAGATCTCAACCATACGCCTACTTCAGTTTCTGGGTTCATATTTTTCAATGTAAATTGTAGCCCTCTAACTAAAGGAATTACAGACGACATGGTTAGGTACTTTTCGCCTGTTGTCATTAGTTCTAATTCTAGTTTTAGAATTGGAACACAATCAGAAATAATGCTCCACTCTGAAGCTTCAATAAATTCAGGGGCAGTGGGTAAATTAGTAATCGCTACAGATAAAGCGTTTTTGACTTCTAGAAGTCTTTCTAACATCAATAATATGGAGTTCCATCGTGTATCTACAGCTTGTTTTATTTTAAGGGGAGCATCTCCTATGTCTTCTTGGGATTTTTTTAGTTTATTTGTAGCCAGGCCGCTATGCTTGAAATAACTAATTAAAGTTTTACATTTTGAAATTAATTGTTTGAGACAATCATTTTCATTAAGCGCCTCCTTGGTTATTAAATTTAATGTGTGAGCCACACAGGGATGGTGTGGTCTACGTAAATGCTCCGTAACAGCGTTCTTTATGTTTGCACCGTTGTCCCAAACTATTGCTACAACCTGATTTTCTTCAATTGCATATTCTTTCAAAATATTCATTATATCTGTAGCAATATTTTTTCCCGTGTGATGTTCCGACGTAAGTGCTTTCACACTTAGTACCCTCGAATGCAAGATATTCTCATACACAAAATGAGCGGTTAGAGATATATACGACACGTTACTGTCAGACTGCCAAATATCTGTTGTCAGAGAAATATTTGTCACTTTCTGCAACATAGATTTTAATTTTGATAATTCTTGCACATATTGTTCTTTTAGAAGCTTCTCTGTTAAAATATTCCTACCGGGGACTCTATACAGAGGATTCAAATTTCGACTATATTCTAGAAAACCGACATTTTCTACAATAGAAAGAGGATGAAAATCTTTTACGATTAATTTTAAAAGTCCTAAATCACAACGATTTTTCTGGGCTTCGGTCATTTCGCTACTAGAATCCTTTCCACCAAACAATATTAATTGTCGTCCTCGTTTTCGTATTTGGGTTCGCAAATAGAACGTTTTTGTTGAGATTGCTTACTTGTTGACAGAATAGGAAGGTTTTCTAAGGGTTGAGAATGTTGAGATTGAGATTCTTTACTTGTTGATGGGCCAGGCAAATTTCCCGAAAATATGGACTGCTGACTTTCACTTCTGTATGAAATTTCAACTTCGGTTGCAGCTTCAGGAACAGGACTGACAGGAGTACTACTTATTGTCTCTACTTGGGACGGATCATTACTTTCATTTTCATCATCGGTATCGACTTGGGTAGCATCGACTGGTTTATTTTTGTTCAATTGCTGGTCATATTGAATAGGTTGCTGTTTAACAACGTGTGTTTCTAAATTGCCGGTGCTAATTAAATATTTCAATTTTTTATTACAAAGCCGGCATGTGGCAAATTTATTGTCCATCGATTTTACGAAAAATGACCAAACGATTGATTTTTGTGCAGGAGCCATTATGTAAATCACTTAATATTAAATTAGGTACCTTATCACAGATATGAAAAATTCAAATAGGTCACGCCACTGGTGGCGTTGATCACAGCTCGAACCTCGAACACGAACGCGAGACGCAACAGACAACCAACAAAACAACCCACTTTCTCACGTCAGAATAAAACTAATAACTAATCATAACCAACCGTCCCTTGTTCCGTATTATTTCAATCATCCGTATTCCGTGTTGCCAGGTCGCATAAAACCGCATGTATTTGCCGGATTGACTCCACCTGAGGCACCTGATATTATGGATGATACGTAATATTATTACGGATAATTCATCCGAATATTCTATTCATCCGTTTCCGTGTAACCGGTTATCAAAATATTCCGAATATTTACATCACTAGTGGACACCACACACCGCCGCTCGTCGCGCCCGCCTTAGGCCCCAGTCACCGCACATTCAGTATGGACGCACACCTAGTCTCGAGTATTGCTCACACGTTTGGCGTGCTCGATGCTGTAAGACTGATCGATGACTCTTATCTAACAGACAGTGGCGGCACCCTTTCGAACCGACAGGCCGTCAGTGGTATAGCTCTCTTCTTCCTCTACAACAAAGGGCTTTTCTCCTCTGAGCTCTCCTCCTTGATGCCGCCGCGCGATGTGCTTTCCAGACAGACCCGCCTAACTTTGGTCTCCCATCCTAACCGTGTCGAACTTCGTACATCCAGAACTGGCCGATACGACCCCTCCTTTAACCCGAGGGTGTTGAGATTATGGAACAATCTACAACAGGAGGCTTTTCCCAGTTCTACTGACCTTAGGCAGTTCAAAAATTGGTTTAACAAAATTTGTATGGAATCCTCATAGCAGTCGCAATGACTCCATCTTGAATTGTTTGATTAAGAACATAAATGTTATGAGTGAGTTCGGATTTTTTTTTCACAGCTCGAAGTTATCGTACTATTGAGCCCAAGTGAGCTTCTTATATCCAGTTCCAAAATTTAAAATACAATATTTCCATCATTGGCAATGTTTAGGTTTTTTCCTTTTTACCGTATCAAATTACAGATTTTAAGGAGATCCTCGAATATAGGTCGGGTGGCTGAAAGAAAAAGCCCCTTCACCACGTTTCAAAGACCTACTTTCCTTAATTCTCCGATGATGCCTTTATGCGAATAACTCGATTCGTCACTAATTTATATGAAATATCTTAGAGAATCGTCGACTGAGCATAATTAAACCGTATTGCTGTTCAAGCCGTTCCGGTTCGTTATCGGAACTCCACACGCAGGAGATTTTATGCGTTCATGGGCGCGAATCCATAAATCGCTGGATACGCTTCTCCGAAAGATTGATTTGCATATACAGTGCGTTCTAACTCGTCACGCACAAAGTTGTACGTTGGAAAACTAGTTCAGGCACTAGCCATACTTTGCAAGACTAGAATTATAGTGATTTAGCTAAAAAAAAATATTGGAATGATTCTATATTTTCGCAGTACGGCAATGAAATTACCATTTTGTTTTGCTGCTATGATTTGATAGATATGGTTGGATATATCATTTCACTGCTACGTATTTCTTTTTCAGAAGATCTGGGATCATCCGAGGTGGACTGTCAGGTCAAGTGAGGACGTGGGAAGACACTGGGATAGCAGTCCGACAGGTATGTCTTTTTGTCAAAAGGAAGCATTGTCGTAGAAAAGTTAGTGTTGCCGTCCACGTATCATCAAATCCTTACCTTTACTTTGCTGTCGTTGATTACAATCTCTTATAACAGTGCTTTGTCCCAGGTGAGTGAGTGAATAAGAGTCGTGGAAAATTGTCGTTTGCGGCATTTTTGGGAAGTCTATACCTATAAGTCAGTATATTTACATTTTGATATTAGAGCTCCTATTGACCAAATGATGATTTAATTAGATAAACGCATATGTTTGATCAGGTAATTAGCCAGTTTAATATCTTACTAAGAACAAGTTAGAAAATGTGAAGATTTGTGATAATCAACCATCAATTTCAGCGCATTAAATCCCTCACCTATATCAGCAGGAGTATTACGAAACTTGAAAAGTGACATTATGTCGATTTAATTTGACATTATTTTTTTTTTGGCATTATGTAGGTTTTCCAACAAGACGTCAACTTGTACCTAGATATCATTCGCTTCATGCTCACTTGTAGCAACCATGGAATGAACTATTTGCACACTAACCTACTTAGCCAACAAGTTGACATTTTATATGTTTTTTACATTATACATGTTTTTTACGTCATTACCGTAATAACCGGCACTTGTATTACGTATCTTGAAAAATGACATTATGCCGATTTTTTTTTTGGACATTGTATTGGTTTTTCGTGACATTATGTAGGTTTTTCTACAAGATGTTAACTTAGCACTTAGTTTTATGTGTTGCCTAAACGTCCTGAGACTTCAGTTGTCAATGTTTGGCTTTGATGTGATGTAAAATCTGCTTCAGAGATGGCAACACTGGAGGTCTAAGCTGTAAGTTCTATGTGCTTATGACAATTCCATTGGATTCTTGTCTCAAATACACTTACTTGAGATTCAAAGCTAGAAATTGCGCATCCACGTTTTCTTATCCATTCTGGAAATTACATATGCAAATTTGCTGAATTTAAAAAATGAGAGAGATAAGAAATAATTAGATTCACTGTATACTGTCAAATTACAAGCCATATACATGCTAACAGTAATTACAGACGACGCGGGCGCGGTGGTGATTTCTCGTAATTCTCCCCAAAGTTCTTCATCTTCATCTTCATTATTTATAACTTTGAATATAACCTCTCTATAGAAAGCACAACACAAATAACCCGTCGGGCACTTCTAATGAATATACTTCATTGGCAGCATACTCAGTAACGATTTTCTCACACAGCAAATATCACTGATCTTATACGCATGCAGACCAATACACATAATCATCCAGATGCGATCTTGCTATTCAACCAACTTTCTTGTCAGAGATAAAAACTACCGATTACTCGGCTTCACAAAACATTCAACCAACAATGCGTGTAGTTTAGTTGAGTCATTCCTCCATAGATGGTCGCTCAAAACGATCCTAGTGAGCAAACGTGGAATGACTGTTTGCACCATAAAAACGACCTAGTCTGCAAGATGACATTTTATAGGAATTTTTGAGGTTTTATAGGCTTTTGAGATTTCTGGAACGGTAAGAGATACGAAGTCGCTTAAATGGGTGCAAAGCTGCGCATTTGAGTAACTAAGAAAATGCCCAACTAGCAAAGTAGTGCTATAAGCTTTTGGTAAAAGAACCGTTCAGCCATGAAAGCTCTCTATTGTTATTGCCTGAACACGAAAATGCTGGCTTAATGTTGTGTGGAATGCAAATTTGCTTTCTGCAACATATTTGCTCTAAAATGAGGTGTTTAAAATATTCTTATAGCATAGTTACACAACACCTTATAGGTCAAATTTTTAACTGTTGCATAAACGTTTATACAACTATTTTATACGGCATATTTGCAGGTTAGTCAAAATGGTTGTGTTGTGGCATCCATGTTAACGTTTATAAAACAAACCCGAGCCTTGTTGTTTTGCTGTGCAAATTTACTACTTTAGCCAACAAATTGCTCCCAATGGAAGCACTTATACAACTGTTGTTTAGTAACTGTTAAAGGCTGTACATATGCTAAATATGTTGGTATACAACTTCACCAAAACCTAACATTCTGCTGTCATATTTTTGTTAAAATGCCATAACCAATGCTTTAAGACAAACAACGCATGCATATTGGTTAAAAAGGTTTTATCAACTGTTCAAACAGACGATATAGATCTGGTACAAATTCTAGGTAAATCATTCGACTCTGTAGGAATTTCATTTCTGAAATTTGTCAAATTGTTGTATAACACCTGCAGGCAACACCAAAATATTCTAATAAACTAAAGACAACATGGACGATGCCATAATTATACACAATCACCCGCCATATTGGGCAAACATTTATTCCTCTATTTGATATTAAATAATTATGTTTCAGTTCGAAATTACAGATATAAAGTGATAAAAATTAGTGTAATTGTGTATAAATATAGGATTTATGGAAGATTTAACGCAGATAAGTTCAGTTTTCCATCTTAAAAATCTAGACATACTTTTGATCGTTATTAAAATATAAATCAAATACGAAGCCCGTAGAAATTGCGTAACTACTTTGCACGATAATCACAATAAAATTTGCTGCGCAAGTAATTCAATAGCCCTATATCACAGTGTAGAAGTTTATCATATACCTGTGTATGAAATTCACAATGGCCGATATGTAAGTAAACAAGATGACTGTATTGTGTTAGTTATATATTCTTCACTTCGTGTATACAATACATAAGAAATAGTTTGGTTGTAATAAAGTAGAATCACGTAACAGAATAGTTGTATAGTTGACAAAAACTGAATCTTGCACTGACGCAAATGTCCTATAGCGGCTGCAAGAGGCTTACACTTTTGTTGTATAACTGTTACCTGCAGCCCTTATACAACCTCTTAAATGACTGAAGTGTCCTATTAGGTGTGCCCATTCCGCTTGTATAGCTGTTCTAAGAGGGTTTTGCGAATGTTCTTACAGTATACAATGCTGTGTAAGGAATACTGTATACTCATTCTTGCAACTCTAATAGGAGTGATAATTGTTAGTTGGGTGGCACTTGTATAAGATATCATGTATTGACTTTTGCAAGCCTTAGTTATTTCAAAAGAACATAATTTCCTGAGTATTCTTTGACTTATTATCAGATAATCGTACGTTTTATAATATCATCAGTCAAGAATTCCTTTAGTTTTTATTATTAACTACCCTATTTCTGATATCAGTGATGTGATATTGTGCAAGTCATGACATGGATTGATACTATAGAACTTCAAATATCTAAAAAAGTCTCTATAGTTGGTCTTAACTCATGGAACAAACAAC